TTTTTTGACCTTTTCTTCTCTTCAGCCGAGAGTATTCCAACGTGGTTAGCCAAATTATTCCAACCGCCGACTTCCCAGCAATTATGTTTTCCCTAAGTTGCACTGTATACATAGCTTCTGTATTCGATGTCGATTGAGTGAAAAAAGAAATCGTTTTTATTTCAGCATCAATGCCTGCTTCACCTCGTAATGTCCGTTTCATCGAACAATCGTTACAAACAAATAATCGAGCGCAGATGCAGTATAGGCCAAGAGGTATCTACCTATTCCTATTCACTCCAAAGCCTTTTGACTTTTTTTACGTCTTTTCTATGCATTTCAGGTGTATCGCTTGATAACAACGGGAGTTTTTCTGGTAGATGAAATTTTGAAAACGTGTAGAGCTTTTACATCAACCCCCGCTCAACAGAAAAGTTTGGAGTGGAATAGACAGTCGAATAGACAGTGGAATGCGATGGCAGTCCGCTACTTATGACTGCCTTAGTCTTAGAATAGCATCAATAGTAATAGTAAAAGTAGCAACAATAACAGCATTAATAATAGCGGAGTCTAAAACCTTAGAAGGAGAGCCCATTGAAACAGGATATGCACGGAAGATGTCAAGATTTAAATCGGAAGTGGTCCTTCGCATCTCTCTCATTTCACGCCTGCTTCTCTGTAGTCGGTCAAGTCCAGCTGTTAGGTTGAAAGCCCCTACATGAGTCAGCACCTGGATTATCAACCAATTACTACCGTGGCATACTTGTCACCTGGGAATTGTTTATCCGTTGTCCACATACTCATGACACTGTAGGGGCTGCCTAGATTCCTGCCTCGACATTCGTTTTGCAGCATGGAGGCTTAGATAGTCTTCATACTGGAGGACGTACGTTGCGCGCATCCGTTGAATGTAGGTCACTCCGCCCACTTCGCGCGCTGCGCACCCCTCAGATGTCCCGAGATGACATTACAGTACCACCAAGTGTCAGTGGAGCGAATGATTTGCATTTGGTCGTGTNATCTTCTCTTTTGGCTGAATGCCATGGACCAAGCGCAATTCGTATGCCCCGCTGTCAACTGTGACGTTTGTCAAAGATGGCGGGCTAACCCACCGCGGGCGGCGGCCGCGGCGTGACCTAGTTTCGACGGACGCGCGCGACGAGGGTGCGCTTCGTTGCGCGGGTCCGTCGAAACTAGGTCACGCTGCAGCCAGCGCACGCGGCGAGTCGGCCCGCGATATTTGACAGACGTCGCAATTGTCACTGGGGCATACGCTTTGCGTTTGGACCACGGCAGTCGTTCAAGAAGAAGATAACGCAGACAAATGCAAATCATTTGCTCCAATGACACTTGGTAGCACTGTAATGGCGTCTCGATACCTCAATGTGATGCGCCGCGAGCGAAGTCGGCGGGGTGACTTACTTTCGACGGACGCGCGACGAAGCACACCCCTTCATACCCTCGCGTTCGCTCGAAGCGAGGCCATCATCTACAGTGCAGATGAATTTCCTCTAGAGTCTGTTGCCTTCTGATCCTACTTTTTGGCTCTTACAAGTCGTTTCAAGCTGCTGTCACCAATCATTTGCGATTTCTTTCACACTAGAGACTTTCTCTATATCTGCCCGACGAGTCCCTAACTTCCCATGGCTGACCTGATTCGGGTTTGTGCTATTTAGGATTTATTAAGGGTTATGTGAAACGGAGATCGAACCATTTGTTCGAGATTAGAGGTGGTCAGGTGGTTAGGATTTTATGGCTAGTATTGGAGAGGGTCAGTCTCTGTCAGCGAAGAGATTGCTCACCATTGAGCCTCTTGTAAGTCATAAGCTTTTCAGGTCTTATACTGTTCCATGAGTGCACAGTGAACAAACAACTTCTGTGCCAAGATACAGTAGCTCTTTGATAGCCCTCNCTGATCCTAGCTTTAGTTCCAAAAGAAATAGTATAAGCATAGTTTTAACCCGTAGCAATCCGCATTTAATACCATTGTCTGCGGTTAATGAAAAGAGTTTTTAGCGTCTGGTGGTACAAGGGGACCTGGTTCACGAAGCACACAGCAGTCACTCACACAGCTCGATGAAGCCACACTTGATTTGCTTCGGCTCAGCTCTGAGCCCGAAGCAGGAGCTGCTGTGTCGTTCACATCATCAAAAAGGTCAGTATACGATTCGGCCAAACTTGTTTGTTTTATGAAGGAGACCAGAGTAGTTTCAAGCTATGCTCAAATCAATTCAAGGGAATTCTGCTCCACGCTGCCAGTCGGGGTACATTCTATGCTTTTTCCAGAATCCCACCAATTTAGGACCAAAACTACGTTGATCATGCATGTACAGTTGCTATACATCGGCAGGAACAAAATTTTTCAGAGAGTGATACCTTCAGGAACATTAAGTTTCGCTTTTGTACTTCCTACGGCTGTAGCCGAATGTATTCACACTGAGCTGCTTATGTAAAAAACGAACAGCTAGGGCTGTGGTGGTGCAGTGGCAAGTGGCGCACTTCACACACGCATGGTCACGGGTTTGAATACCGGATTGATATCCGTCTGGGCCAACCAAGACTTCCATCCCTCCGGGGTCACTGAATTAGTACCAGACTCGTCTGGGAGGATAAAAACACTGTCTTGTACATCTAGTGGCCACCTCAAGTCATTGTATAGGCCACATTCACACTCGTTACGCCACTACGATTCTGAATGGAAGTCGAATGCGGGGCCGCATCCCTCAGCCGGGATAGATTAACGCCAAAAAGTCTTTTATTTCATCCTTTTGTTCTATCTATAGTTGTTGCGAAAGAACAGTCAATTTTGAACGATCATT